GGGAAGTGTAGTAACTTCACGGCTCCTATCAGGAAGGATAAGAGTGTTGATGTTGTGAGGCGATTGAAGGACATACCGTAAATGTGATAGAACGGCAGAATGCCTAGCACTTTGTTCGCAGGAGGGAACAGTGGCTTCAACATATCCATAAGAGCAGTGATGTTCCGATGAGTCGTCTGGAAATAAAAGCCTCAACCACCAGTTATGGTATTTATCGTCAAAAATGAACACTGACCTCGACACCTTTTGGCTTTCCCGTCGTCCCTGAGGTGTAAACTTTTAAACGGGAAAACAACCGCTGTGCTATGGAACGACGTACCTGAACTGTAGCAAAGGTACAGAGTTTCATGTGCTCGTTCACCATCGAATCTCACCTCAGACTCCAACTTGCCTTTACCCAGTAAATCTTCCGAATAGAGCAGGTTCGGAGCTTGTCGAGGGGCATTGGGACCTCCAGCCCACGCCAAACTTTCTCCGAGTACGATAATTCGAGAATGGGCTTCCTGCTCACCGAGGCCAAAGCCCAAGAACATTTCCTTTACAACGGGAAGTCCAACTTCGGTGGTGAGCACAATTCCTGCTTTGCTATCATTGTATTGGTACGTCAATTCTCGTGTGTTGTATGCGCTGTTTGCAAGAGTGCAACGCAAGCCCGCAGCCACTAAGTAAAGCACCAATAAGTTAGCATCCCAAGACAACTCCACGAAACATTAATCATTACTGACCGCAACCGAACAAAACCACGGGCCAATGAAGGCTGTTTTGAGAGTATATAAGGACAGTGCCCCCTACATTTGCTCTAGTTGTTGGGTGGTTGCGAATTCCGAAGGCAAATGACAAGGAAAGGTTCTTGAGCTGTGCACGTGTAAGGGTTGTTCCGGATGGAGCGTCGATGAATGCGGGGGAAGAACCGGGGTATCCACCGACTGAAGTGGGATCATTGGGAGAAGCCGAGAAGAGGTGTGTATACACGGATGTGCTCACGATAGGGACTGAGGGAATGGAGGAATGGTAGATTACTGGAGTCATGGTTTGGAGAAAGCGTTGTAGGAGATGATGACCAGGGAATAAACGGCGAGCGGTCCCAGGGACAGGTTCGTGGAGGGTGCCATCGACGAATTCGAACGGGACAGAGATTTATAGCGAAATGCTAGGCTAAATTCCGGCCTGGGAAACGCCCGGCTAGCTCCTGCGAAATGTTGCATATTCCACCCACACCTTGTCTCTTTCGAATGGGTGCCCTTGGGAATTCCGGGGTCGGACATGAGATCTTGAGAGGGGGGAGGTTCGTGAATCTAATCGACGGCCAGGTAAGTGGCGATTACTGTAATCCTTATCAGGATTGACATCTTTGGTGATACCGGTTGTACCCGTGAACCAGGCACCACTCTAAAACTTCAACGCCTGCCTTCAACTATCTCTAAAACTCGAGTCTTCGACGACTCTCCTCTCGTATCAGAATCTGAACAAATGGTGTAGTTGGCCATCCCTTATGTCTCACGCACAGAAGGTCCCCAGTTCGACTCTGGGTTGTTTCATTCAAATCGAGCGTTTGGTACTATTTTTGCCGTACAACCAAAGGCTAACCTCCCCTTGTCTCCTGCTTCAACCTTCTCTCTAACTAGAATCTCAGACTCAGTTGATCGTCAATGCATCAGTTTTGCCGGGTTGTTTCATCGGATGTACGTTGGATCAATATTTGGTGTTTCCGTCCAACTCACAATCCACCGACTCCTCCCTCCATTTCGCAAGGGAATAATGGTGTAGTTGGTCATCACTTCTGTGCCACACACAGAAGGTACCCAGTTCGAATCTGGATGTTTCATTGAACACCATTTTTGACAGGACGCGATCTTGGTAGGGTTTATTTTTTCCCAGAGTGTCCTAACACATCGTCATCACTTCCCGTATGGAACCTAAATCACAAACGTCGAGAGGGAGAAAACACACACCGCTTCTGTTGCCGATTGATACACTTCGCCCAAACCCAGTCACTCAAACCCGCAATAATCCGGAAACGCTCTGGAAGAAACTTCGGCCAGGAGGACCTATGGACCTTGCTGACACTTCCTGGTGAGGAATTGGGAGAACCCCGATTCTGTGAAGTTGCAGAGTTCTGACGCTATTCGTGACAGTGAGGCCGCCAGGACAATCAATCTGGAGACCCCCTTCCTTCGCCTCCGTCATGTAAGCCGAGAAGGACCGCCAATTTGAAGCAGGACGAGTGACTTTCAACCACCCTTCGACATCGCGATATCAGTGAAGTTCCAAAGAGCTTCAGGTGCATCTGCCAATCTTGGCGCCCCAACCTGGTTGTTGAGGTCTTCTCAAACACCCTTCCTCGTGATGAGCGTCAAAGCTTCGGAACTGGTCCAACAATGAGGCGAATGTGTACGTACGTTCTCGGAACTATTGGGTCCCCCCTATGGTTTAGCTCTCAATTCTCGAGTCGTCTGGGGTGTATACTTCCTCCAAAGGTAAGTTACGATCTCATGGACAATCGGGAAATCTGGTTAATACCTTATTCAGACTGAAGTTCGTTGGGGATGAGAAATTCTTCCTCCACCAGTGCGGGTTGTGGCCTGTGGGGTTCGCGAGGTGCTGACGAGTATATTCTGCATATATATCTCGTGTTATCGTTGTTAGAATGAGAACCATAGATTTGGAGTGTCCAAGAAAAGCCGAGTTAATGCAATATAGACGCCTACCGAATGAAATAGTCCGGAATACAGTTACGAGTCCGTCAATAATAGAATAGCACAGATACTGTATTTCGTCAAATAATTCACCATAGTGTCCCATTCAATTCTTGTCAGTTCCAGACCTCGAAATGCAAGCGCTTCCCGAAGGTGTGGGGATGATAGTACTCCATAATCGATCTCCTGCGAATAGCAACAGGGAAAGGCGATTAGGTGCCATTCTGTGCCATTCTCCCGCCGCCGGTCGATTGTGGTCCGCTCCCCAGGGCGAAAACGGCCAGTACTGCCGGCTCCGCCAATGCAGTGACTGCATCGGATGTCAGGCGAAGAGTCGAAGGGCTGATCGGTAAGTGTTTTGCTCTCTTGAGATTGATTGGGGACTTAGAATTATTGTATACGATAACCGGGCTGATTGTGAGGATGTTTTAGATGAAAGCTTCAGAAAAAATAACTGTTGCCCACTGGTAGACGGTTGACGGTTTCTCCTGTCAAAAGCCATGGTTATATCTGCATCAAGAAAACATGTGCACCCAGATTCGAACTGTGGACCCCCTGCGTGTTCGACGGAAGTGATGGCCAATTACACCATTGTCCTCTCCCGAGATGCTGGAGATGAGTTGCTGGATCGCGAGTCGACAGATTCTAGGGATATTGGAATAGTAGAGGGCAGGCGTTGCCGTTGAAGCAAGAGAGCAGGAGTAGGTTATTGTCAATCGATCATGAATTCTTGTACTTACTGTACATGGGACTGACTGATCTAAAAAGCTACTAGTACCTAACCCACATTCGAATCGAGACTTTCCATATGTGAAAGGGATGACCGACCTTCCCATTTGTTCGGACTTCGATACCAGAAGCAAGTCGGTAGGGGTAGGGGTTGAAAAAGTGTTGATTGGTTTCGACCCTGACAACATGTGGCAAGGGCACCAAAATCACTCCAAAATGAATGGTCCAGGACACGTTGCGCATCTCCGCTGTACAGGTAGATAGAATTTATCCCACGATCAACTAACGATCATGCGATTGATAGCTGCAACATGCAGATGCACAATGTGCTATCTGACCTATTGACAAATATGTGATGTCTGGTGCAAGTGCACCAACCGAGTGGCGACCTTGTAGATCCCCAGTGCGCACGTCCTCATTTGGCACGACGGACAATCGCCAGTATTCGGCCTTCAAAAAGCACGTGAACAACGTGAGTGTTGTTTATCTTTTTTGAGGTTATCAGGACAGAGGATAACCTAAAAGTTGGTTAATTATCTGGCTGATTTGGGGAGTGATCGAAGAAAATAACTATACGAATTGCAGAAATCAGCTAGATATAGATGGTATAGATTAAATGCCTGCAGGTAGCCAAACTATCCACGCAGTATCCTGCTGGTGGCCAGGTGGTATAAAGAATCAAAATAATTATCCTGCCAGGTTTCCTCAAAATTGACCGGATAGTTAAC